TTGGGAGATGGAAAGCGAAAGTGGCCGAGGGAGCGCGGGGGGCGGGCACGGGGGAACTGCCGGCAATTGCCCGCCAGCCCCTTCGGGACCCCTCCCGGCACCGCCCCGGGTCCCCCCGCCACCCCCGGGCACCCGGCACGGGCACGAACCGCGGCACCCCCGGCACACGAACCCAAACACGGAGCCCCCTCCCCCGGCAGCATCTTGGAGGGGCGGCGTCCGGAGGCGGCTCTGGGGGGGGTTGGGGGGGGCACGATCCGGGAACGACTACCGGGAAGGGACTGGGACGGACTGGGACGGACTGGGACACGAGGATACATCGGGACCAGGACCGGGACCCCTCGGGACCAGAACTGGGGCAACTGGGATCATACTGGGAGCAAGCAGGACTGTCACCGAAGGGGAATAAAACTCCCTGTCACTGCGATGTCAGGATTAGAACGCGGTTTTTCTTTTTTAAGCCCCGGGTGTGTGGGTGGGGGGTGGGGGGGTCTCCTCCCATCACACACTCAGCTGTCTCACACCCGGGTTTCTGTGTGTGTAACTAATACAGGTGCAATACAGTTCCCCAAACTCATGCTTATGTACTAAACACTCCCACAAATTCTTGCACACATTTAAATCACTTCTCAGATCTCCTTTACATCAGAGTAGGGGTCTCTGGAGGGTCTCTGGTGGCCGTTTGGGGAACATCCCTCCTTCAAATTACCCTTCTTTGGTCACAGGCCTCAAAAAAAAACCTTTCTGCTTCTGGAATGCTTCCCAGCTCCCTGGGCTGGCCAAGGTACTCCTTATCAGTGGTGCTTGGGCCGTCATGGTTTAGTCTCAGGACTAAGATATCCACCTGAATGTAGCCGTTGGTGGATACAGGACTAAGCCCTGTCTGGTCCAGCTGAAGGAATTTTCAAGACTTCAACACTAATTGTTGAAATTAAAGATTTTCCCAACATTTCTCCCCTTCTGAGACTTGTTGAAATTTCCAGCAAGTCTCCCTGATAAGCTTTATAATACTTTGGGTTACAAACATTAGTGCAAGAGTTCACAGAAATGCAAGAAAGACAATAATCACTGTCAGATTAGATCCACCCCAGACAGCGTGTCCCTTTCAGTCCCAGAAGGGCTCGGCTTGGCAGGGACTCCAAGCCCATCCCGTGGCAGCCCTGCCCCAGCAGGGCCATCTCGCAGCAGCCCATGCGGCTCCAAGGCCGGGACCAGTGCCGGGCCCGGGGCAGCCAAAGGTGCGGGAGCGAGAGGAGCCGGGACGAGGCAGCCGAAGGTGCGGGAGCGA